GGCCTTGTCACGTACCGTATGGAGCGCGGCAGTATCAAGATGGATCAAAACGCGGCCTTCGTCGAGTCCATCTACCAAGCCGTCAAGGAAAGCGACGCATGGCAAGCTGGCTTCGTCGACAAGCGTGTTGTCATCCTGTTCGACAACGCGCCAGTGCACTCGCAAACTGAGGAGCGTGTTGTCCAACACGACGACTTGACGCTCCTTCGTCTCGGGCCGTACTCTCCTATGCTCATTCCGATTGAGAGCTGCTTCAGTGTTTTCAAGTCGCGAATCAAGGCTTATCTGGCGCATCATACTGCCGACATGTTTGACCGCGGTGAGTACAGTTCGTTTCTTGAAAGCCGGATGGTCTTGCTCGAGGACGCAGCTCGCGAATCGTTGCCTTGCATCACCCAGTCGCTGGTGATACGAGAGGTTTTGTTCTGCCAGAATAATGTTGACAAGGCAATTCGACTGGAGGACATGGCTTATGGCCAGTAATTCATATTGAATGTGAAAATTTCAAGTTGAGATGTGAAATTGTTTGTTTCCTTCGAAAACGTGTGATTTTTATGCGTTCGGAACGTTTCGTATTTCACATTGGCTGGAATTAAATTACAAGTTGGCCGGGAAGTGGTGTATATCTTGGGAAGTAAAACGAATTGGTTTGTTCTGAAAACAGCCAATCAAAGTGCTTATCTTGCGCTTTCGATTGCACCAATCAAATCGAAAATAAAGCCAAAATTAGAAAAATCCCGCCAATCGAAAAGTCAATGTGAGAAACATTACGGACCAGAGTAGTAGCATCGCAAATGACACGATTTGTTCATAATCACCGCTCAGCGCCAAACGGCCGAGGACACGACAACAGACGGCACGGCACAATATAACCGCGCCCAACACAGCAGACCCTGACACTTGGAACTAACGTATATGGGGGGTGAGCTCGAAGTGGTAGAGATTTCCATTTATACCTAAAATAGTTCATGGGATCTTGTTAGCCCATGATCACGCGACAGGGGCGCGAACAGCGCGGCATATCGCACGGCGGACATGGCCGACCACACAATGCATACCACGCAACTTCAATGTCTCAGCCGTGGGCAACCAACTCCCACGGACAACGCTACTGGATTGGTCGTCTTGGCGATCAAGTCCATGACCTACACTTGGAACTAACACCTTCAGTAATACGGGGTGACTTGATGTGGTAGCGATTTGCATGTATAGCTCAGATAATTCATGGAATCTGGTCGGTCCTCCCCGATGACAGCCCGCTGCTACCCCCCAGATCTCGCGGAAAATGAACGAACGCCGCTCGCGCTGGCCGTCCTCTCACCTTGCCGACTGTACAGTACCAGCTCTTCTGTCAGTGGCAGTACCTCCAGGGTGGCGAGTCGAATCGCTCCACCTCGTCACAGTGTGTGCAGGGCCAGCGCAGCCTTCGTGATACACGGACAACCTGGCGATCGATGTTTTGCAATGATGGAATGATAGCTTGGCGTAATATCTAAATATGAATTTATCCGATGACTAGTCTCATTATTTGCTGTTTGTATACTGTCGAAGCAATATTCCATGTGTGCAACTTTCACTCAAATCTCCATTTGTCCAAGACGCAAGGAATGCATCAAAAACCTACGGCTGCTCTCCCGTGCCTCCTCTTGGCCGAAACTAGCTGTAGTTACGCTATACAGTAGCTTATAAAGATTGTGGGTTGTACATATCATAGAAAACACAAGTAATATTGGCCAATCGATGATAATATTATCCAAGTCGAAGCACATGAAATGGAAAAACTTCATAGCCTTTCGTCATTGAGCGGAACTATCTTCATGCTGCGATATAATGAAAATAATACCTCTTTGATGTAATAATGAATACCTTGTGAGGATTAGAATGATACGAAAATGGTTAAACTGGGAACGCAGATAATGGCAATATCCTGTATCACGTCATAAGAACAATGTCACAAATTTTTACTTCCTCCGTTCCGGAAAGAAGTTTACCACATTTTTTACGGAGCATATTTTCATCAAAATTTATCGAAATCTGCTGCAATTGCGCTCATTGTGTTGATCCAGAA